TATATATAAAATAGATAACAAGGTCCTACTAGTATAGCACAAGGAACAATATTCAATATCTTGTAATAAGCCATAATGGAAAAGAATATTTTTAAAAGAATATATATATATATATATATATGTGTGTGTGTGTGTGTGTGAGAATCACTTTGCTGTGCACCAGAAACTAACACAACATTATAAATCAACTATACTTCAATTAAAAAAAAAAAGAATGCATCAAGGTCAGGCTTCCATGATAGAACTTTTGTGCGTTGCCAGTGTTGCCACCTGCACCTCTGGAGAGTCCGGACAGTCCCGAGAGCAGAGGTGGTGTCCCAGGGACCGGGGGGCGGGGGATGAGAACAGATGCACACCAACCGCAGAGGTGGGGAATTTTCCAAGCCAGGTCTTCAGGAGCCTGTGGTGGGAGGGAGACTTCTGGAAGCACCACAGATCCTCCTGGAGGCATCGCAAAAGGGGTCTGGCACTCGGCGGAGTTTTGCTTGGTCCTCCAGGCTCCTCGTCCTGGTGATTCTGACATTTCTTCTCCCTAGTAAGTGAGGAGGAGCACGGCAGAAGAATGGGGATGTGGTGAGGTCTACCAAAGCTCCCTCTAGGGCACAATCCCCGCCTGGTGAGCACCTGCCCTCACACAAGATGCCTGCTTGGGGCGGCATGGTGAGTAAGGTGTGGCTCCTGAAAGATCAAGTCCTTGGGTGGCAGCATGATTGCGGGGGTTGGGAGAGCACATTAGAAAGCAGCCTGGGTAGGAATGTTGTCACAAACCCTGCTGGCTGACTAGCCTAGGACAGGTCACTTCACCTCTCTGAACCTCTGCTCCATTCTACAAAATGCGTACAGCAACCTCTGGCTCCCCGGGAGGCTTAAAGGTTTAAAGAAGATTGTGTGTACGAAAGCAAGGGCTTGCCAAGTGGAAGCTATTATTATTTACTGGTTCCCAGGCACTGCTGCGGACAGGATGACAGGAAGGTCATTGTGCTTGGTGGCAGGGCTTGGGTCCTGAACTACTCTCCAGCCCACTCCATCCCCCTGCTTTCATACATACCCTCTTTTCCAACCAGACTGCCTGCTCCTGGGCTGACAAGCTCTTCCTCGCTACCTGGCCTTGGCACCTGCTGGTCCCATGGCCTGACTTGCCTCGTCTCCCTTTGCCACCTGACAGACGGCAGCAACATCCTCCTTCCCTGGTCCCCAAAAGAATGAGCACCCCCATGGCTTGGGGGCTCAGTCCCACGGGCCTGGACTTCTGAGGTCCCAGCCCATGGCCCCAGCACTTGGAAAGGACTTGCCTCCCTGTAGGGCTCAGAGCTGCAGGGAAGAGGACAGAGGAAGGGGCACTTCCCAGTCCCTGGGCGTCCCTGTGACTTAAGCTCTCCTTCTCTTGTGAAATCCACAGCCGGCAGAAGGAAGCGCAGAGTCCCAGCAGTGTCTGGGGCAGACGCACACCCCCTTCGTGGGGTTAGGACTCTTCATTTTGTGTAAGAAAGGCTCTGTCCCAGTCTGGGCCACCGCCTGAGACCCACGGAAAGCTTGGGCCTCGCTGAGCCTGCCCCCCTGACAGCTGGGGGCTATCAGCCTAGTCTAAGGGGCTTTGGGAGCAGGGCTCCCAGGGGCATTCGGAGAAGCTGCGAGAGAGGCTGTGAAACACTGAGAGGATGGAAGAAGAGGAAGTGGCCCCCTTCCCTGGCTGGCCTGACAGACAGCTGTGGAGGCCCTCCTTCCTGTGAGGGACCGGGCCCAGGGCTCAGACCTTCAAGCCTCCCATCTCCCCAAACCACAGCCCAGAGGTGTGAAAGACAGAAAAAAAAAACAGGGGGAGGGGTGGCAGAGAAGAGACAGGTGCACATTTCACACCTTGACCACAGGTGGGGCTCGGAGCAGCTTCACTCTGACTAACTTCCTTCTGAAGCTTCCCCACTTGGTGTCTCGGGAGGCCAGAAGCAGAAGGGTACAGCTACCAGAACTTAGGGTGCAGGCTCCTGGCTAGGTGGGTCTTCCCCAGGGCTGGGCCTGCTTGGAAGCTGGTCTGGGGGCTGCTTGGGATAGGAGAGGGCCGAGTTAGTGGGCCAGACAAGGTTCTTGTCTCGGCACCTTCTGAGGCATGTGAGCTGTGAAAGACAGCAGTGGCCAACTGCAGACCTGACCTTCTGTGGCCTTGGGAGGGGCTGGTCTGGAAAGTTACTAGAAGGGGAGGGAACTGCTGCTCGCTGGGTTCTTTACCCTGTGCCATATATATCGTTTACAGTTCACGGAGCAGCCCTGACACAGGTGGACTAGCTTTATCCCTACTTTTCAAATGAGAGAACCAAGGCAGAGAGGTAAAATGATTCGCCTAAGGTGACACAGTGGGGCAGCCAGAGGATTCGGCCAGGACTGGCCAAACCCTCCCAGCTAAGGCATGGCAGCCTTCCCGAAGGATCCGTCCTCCAGCCACGTCCACAGGGCAGCACACTCCGTCCCAGGGCTCCCCTGACATGGAAGGGCTCCCAGGGACTCTGGGTTTGTGGCCAGTATCCCTCACACTCAGCATTCTCAGATATGCTTCTACTAAGGGCTGAGCCCTGTGTGGAGACCTCACAGCCCTGGTCATCTCAGATGACCTGTTTTACAAATTTATTTATTTTTGGCTGCGTTGGGTCTTTGTTGCTGCGCGCGGGCTTTCTCTAGTTGCGGCAAGCGGGGTCTACTCTTCGTTGCGGTGTGCAGGCTTCTCATTGCAGTGGCTTCTCTTGTTGCGAAGCATGGACTCTAGGCGCATGGGCTTCAGTAGTTGCGGTGCGTGGGCTCAGTACTCGTGGCTCACGGGCTTAGTTGCTCTGCGGCATGTGGGATCTTCCCGGACCAGGGCTCGAACCACTGGTGGCGCAGTGGTTGAGAATCTGCCTGCCAATGCAGGGGATTCTCAACTACTGTGCCACCAGGGAAGCCCTCAGATCATCTTATAACACCCCTGCTGAGACCAGCTCAAAAATGGTTATGTCATAGGTCCAAGGTCACACATCTCGAACAGGGTGGAGTCAGGGCTGGAGCCAGACAAATTCAGCATTTTTCCCATTCTTCCCACTGCATCATGGCCACACCGGGAGCAGCGGGAACAGTCCGCCCCACAGCCCAGGCTGGCCTCTCAGGATATGGCCCAGTGCAGAAAGGAAAGCTCTCTGCTCCTTTCCAACACTCTTAGCTGACCTCCTCTCATTTCTCCTTTCCAGCAACCCAGGAAGGTGGGGATCTTGGCCCCCATGTGGCAAATGAGGAGACTTGGACACAGGAAGGAGACCGGAGGTCCCTAAACTTAGAAACTTCACATGTATCTGGAGGACCCACACTGGGTTGTCAACTCCTGCTAACACAAGATGCTACTGTCACCAACATTTCATAAAGAGAAGATCCTTTTAATACCAAAAAGGGGATAAAGGCCATAACTGCAGAATACAAGAACCTCCTTTAAGTTGAACAAATAGAGCTTTTTGTCTTCCTCCTTTCTCTCACATGTAGAAGCCCAGTGAATGGAAACTCTTCATGGACCAGCATTGGAAGCTGTGCTCCTGGCTCCCACCTGTCTTCCTCCACCTGCAGGCAAGTCACCTGCCAAGTCCTACCTATCCTAACTGCTGTGGCTTCTGGAATCCTCCCAGGCCCCTCCACTTGTGCTGCTCCTGACCTCCTCCAAGCCCTTAGTTCCCTCTGGCCTGGATTCTGCAGGTGACAAACTGCTTAGAGCAAGGACAGTCACATCTTCTGGCCACAGGAGGCGGGGAAGGACCTCGCTGCCTCACAAGTGTGTGTTTTGTCCATTAAGTTTGAGCTGAATTCAAGACCCAAGCCTGGAGGCTCAGGTAACGCATTCTGGTTGAAAACTGGACCCCAATGCCATAGCCTCAGTCTCCCTCCCTCTCTCTCTCTCTCTCTCTTTCTCTCTCTCTCTCTCTCTCTCTCTCTCTCTCTCTCTCTCTCTCTGCTTTTCACCTATGAGGAGAGAGGGAAACTGCTTGGGAGAGGCAAGGGGCTGCCTTTTCCCTCTGATAATGAGAGCAGGGCAACAGAGAGATCCCCATGTAGTCTTCCCCAACCCTATTCCCCTTCTCCTCACTCCAGAAGCAACTGCTCTCATGGATGTGTGGTGTGTCCAGTCCCTACTTTAAACTTCTAGGACAAATAGCTGTATCCAAAACAACACGGTATTGTTTTGTGTGTGTGGTTTTTCTAATTTACCTAAGTGGTGTCGAACTATACACAGTATTCCCTAACTTGCCTCTTCCACCATTGGTCATTGGCTTTTCTAGATGTGTCCATGTTAAAATATATAGCTTTTAGTTCATTCGTTTTTAACTGTGTGAATATATCATTGTTTATCCATTAGAAAGCAACTGAAGGCAGTGTGAGGAGTGGTAAAAGGAGAGTCAGACAGCTGTGGGTTCAATCGTAGCACCTACCCTTGCTTGTTATGTCTGGCGAAGGCCTTTCCCCTTTCTGGATTAGCCATGGGGATGCCGCCCACCCCCCGCCCCTACAAGGGATTTGTGTGGTTGGAATGAGGCAGTGTCAGAGAAAACACCTAAAGCAACACCCAGCACACAGCAAGTTCATTACTAGCAGTTCCCTTTCCTTGCCCCTGTTGCTTAGCAGGGAGGGGCAATAGTAAAGGACTAGAATTAGTGTGATGGATTGCTTTCAAATATTTTCATTTTTTAAGAAGGTTCATCTCCTTTATAGAGTTAACACGTTTAGCTATCCAGTCCACAATCGTGCGAGAGCAACTCCAGCCCAGGACGGATGAGCAGCAGTTCTTACCCCTGCCCTTGCCAGCTGCCCTGCTTCTCCTTCAGACCTCTCCCCTCAAAGCACCTGCCCCTGCCCTTCCCTCGGCCCCAGGCTTTCTGGTCCCAGGCTTGTGTTCAACTCCCAGAGCAGCTTCGCCGGGCCAGCGGGATGTTGGGGTAGGAACCCCGTGGCCTTGGGTCTAGGGAGTTCTGGTATAGATCACCCCTTGGAAGAGGCTGCTGCCGAGAACCGCGTGAAACCATGACTTCCTCTTTGTAGCGCCGGTTCCCGACCACAAGCACCAAAGCAGAGGGGCAGGCAGCACACGGCCAGGCAGCCAGAGTACCAGCCCAGCCATGGTCCCCGAGGTAAGTGCCGCTGTCCAGCCAGGCCAGACCACAGCTCCAAGTGGAGAGCCTAGGACACTAGGGGAACGTCAGGACTGGCCCACAAGCCAGGGCCACCAGAGGGTTGGGTGAATAGGTAGAGAATGCAGGGGTTGTGTAGAAGGAGCACTCTGGACCGGGAATTGGGAAACCACCTTGGCCACTGACTTGTGAATGACCACAGGCGAGACCCCTCCCCTTTCTGGCTTTGGTGCCTCATCCGCGAAACGCATGAGGTTGAGGCTCACCCCTCACGGTCCTCAAGGCTCCCTTCAGCTCTGACTTGGAACTTTGATCTTCCATGCCGGACTGAATTGGCCCCTGGGAGGCCCTCAGCTATGGGGTGGTTTGCAGGGGAAGGGGGTAAGGAATGTTTCTAATAGAGCTTGCTGGGCAAGTCCCCGGCGGGTGGCAGGCTTCAGTGTAGGGGAGGGGAAGGACAGGGGCAGAAAGCATGTGTTTGGGGGCTGCAGTGATTTGTAGAGGGGCCCCATGGGGTGGGGGGCAGGAAGTTGGAGTCCCCAGACAAGGGCTGAGGAGGGAAGAGGAGGGCCAGTGACTGGGAGAGGGGACGGCGGATAGGCGCCAGGGGACCAAGGTGGTGGAACTAGGCATGGCCAGGACACTGAGGACCATAAGCCATGAAGGAAGGGCAAGGAGAGAGGAGAGGGGGCCGGGAGGGCTCTGGGCACAAGATGGAAGCTCTCCCTCCAGTCCACAGTCCCTGGGCCGATGGGATGACCCAGAAGGGAGAGAGAGAAGCAGCCTCCGAGAAGGGAAGTTACCAGCCCAGCACCCAGGCCGGGCACCGGGAGCTCAGAGGGCGTGGTTTCAGAGGAAAGGCAGGACAGTTTACAGGGTACAGCCCAGGCCTCCGGGCCTGCCTTACAGAGGAGTTGCTTCGAGAAAGCCTCCTCAGACTAAATCTTGAAGGAGTGATGTTTTTTAATTGAAGTATAGTTGATTTACAATGTTTCAGGTGTACAGCAAAGTGATTCAGTTATGCTTACATATATATCTATTCTTTTTCAGATTCTTTTCCATTATAGATAACCTACAAGATATTGAATATAGTTCCCAGTGCCCTACCGTAGGCCCTTGCTGTTTATCTATTTTACATGTCGTAGTGTGTATCTGTTAATCTCAAATTCCTAATCGAAGGAGTGACTTTTAAGGCCTTCACAGGCTCTGTGCCCTCCCTCCCTCCACAGATGAGTGAACGCCAAGAGTTCCAAGCCTCGGAGCTTGCCTTCCTCCTGGAAAACTCTTCCTACGACTACGGAGAAAACGAGAGTGCCTCCTGCTGCGCCTCCCCACCCTGCCCGCAGGACTTCAGCCTCAACTTCGACCGGGCCTTCCTGCCCGTCCTCTACAGCCTCCTCTTCATGATGGGGCTGCTGGGCAATGGCGCCGTGGCGGCCGTGCTGCTGAGCCAGCGGGCGGTCCTGAGCAGCACCGACACCTTCCTGCTGCACTTGGCCGTGGCTGACGCACTGCTGGTGCTGACGCTCCCGCTCTGGGCGGTGGACGCAGCCGTCGAGTGGGTCTTCGGCTCTGGCCTCTGCAAAGTGGCGGGTGCCCTCTTCAACATCAACTTCTATGCAGGGGCCCTCCTGCTGGCCTGCATCAGCTTCGATAGGTACCTGAGCATCGTGCACGCCACCCAGCTCTACCGCCGGGGTCCCCCGACCCGCGTGGCCATCACCTGTGTGGCGGTCTGGGGGCTCTGTCTGCTCTTCGCACTCCCGGACTTCATCTTCCTGTCCGCCCACCACGACAAGCGCCTCAACGCCACCCACTGCCAGTACAGCTTCCCGCAGGTGGGCCGCACGGCCCTGCGCATTCTGCAGCTGGTCGCTGGTTTCCTGCTGCCGCTGCTGGTCATGGCCTATTGCTATGCCCGCATCCTGGCTGTGCTGCTGGTCTCCAGGGGCCAGCGGCGGCTCAGAGCCATGAGGCTGGTGGTGGTGGTGGTGGTGGCCTTTGCCCTCTGCTGGACCCCCTACCACCTGGTGGTGCTGGTGGACACCCTCATGGACCTGGGGGCCGTGGCCCGCAACTGTGGCCGAGAAAGCAGTGTGGACGTGGCCAAGTCGGTCACATCGGGCATGGGCTACATGCACTGCTGCCTCAACCCTCTGCTCTATGCCTTTGTGGGTGTCAAGTTCCGAGAGCGGATGTGGATGCTACTCATGCGCCTGGGCTGCCCCAACCAGAGGGGCCACCAGCGGCAGCCTCCGGCTTCCCGCCGGGATTCATCCTGGTCTGAGACCACAGAGGCCTCCTACTCAGGCTTGTGAGGCTTGGGATGGGGGATCCCCCTTTCCCACGCAGCCCGACTCCCCCATTCCAGGCTCCTCCCTCGCTCACTCCCCAGACACACACTCCTTGGAGTCCCCGATGGCCCTGGTACTGCTGGGTCTCCCAGGGAGCCACCCTCCTGGCTCTGGGGGCTGCCCCATCACTGCTCCTTAGCTGCGCAACCCCCATCCCGCCGCTTCAGAGGTGGCTGCCTTCAGGCCCTTCTTACCTTGGCCGCTCGGAACCCCACCACCCTCCTAATTCAGTAACTAGGCCTCAGCCTTCCCCGTATGCAGGGAGCATGAGGCAAACAGCGTAATGGCAGCGGCCTTGGCCGGGCCTCCTGTTCCGCAGTGACTATGGCTGTGGTTCCCGAGACCTCTGTGTTTGCTCACTTTGATTTTTATGTCTAAAACTCTGCTTCAAACTTTTCAATAAACAAGCTAATCAGGACCAGGGTGTGTTAGTGCATCATTGCAGCCAGCCCTGCCCAGGCTCTGGGGATGCACTTCCTGCTTCTCCTTGTCTGGCCCTGGGTCTGTGCCAAACAATGCTGCCTCTGTCTCTGTCTCCCCTCCTCTCTGCCCTCCTGGGCACACCTGTCCCTCACAGGGAAGCACCCAGGGACATGGGTCCAGGGTAGGCAGTTAGCCAACCCGCTGGCTAGACACTGTCTAGGCATAATTTGGGGAAAGGGCCTTCAGACATAAGTAAGACATAGTCCCTGCACTACAGAAGCTTAGGCCAGCAAGGAAAATGTATAGGTGACAATACCAAGCAGTCTATGCCACGAGGCAAATGTGCAGCACATGTTCAGAGGACTGCGGCTGGAGCCATTTGGGAAGCCTTCTTGAAGACAGAGAAATGAGTAAGAACTTAAGGGGCAAGTAGTATTTCCAAGGGCAAAGAGAAGGAAAGATGGTATTTCCAGGCAGATGGGAGGGCAGCAGCAAAGGCGGGAAGGCTGGAAACAGCAATGCTTATTGGAGGAATGATAACTGGTCCCAACTGGCTAGAATTAAGGGTTCAGGTAGAGAAAGGGTGTAAAAGACTGAAAGTTAGTTTGGGATCAGGTGAGGGTATCATAGGTTACAAGGCTGTAGTGGTTATTCATGTTAGAGGTGACGCAGGCTCTTACTAAAGAGACACAAGTGGGACTGGAAAAAAAGGAGATCGGACGACTTGGCAGTCATTAGCACATAGGCCACCTGGAGGCATGTGTGGGCTTCAGGGAGCATCTTCCCATGGCTATAGCTGGGGTGGAAGTGAGTGGGGGAAGTGACCAGGGCTACTGATGTAAGGCAGAGGGCTGGACCCTCCCTTTGCAGGGGTGGAACCACTGCGTTGTCAGTTCTCCCTAATGAAGTCAGCAACGGGCCATGATCCAGTTTCACAGGCCAGCTGGGCTTTGCTAAGATTGCAGATGTGGCTGGAGGTGGGACTGGAGAAGAGGGACCCAAGGATTTAGCTGCGGGAGCGCATACCACCCTGTGTGCGTACCCGATCCCATCTATACTTGTGCTTAGGCTTCCGTTTGTGGCCACTGAAAGAACACTCTCAGAATCTGCAAAATGAAGGAAGGATGGAAGGCAGGTGACAGAATCACACATCCTGCCTACAGAAAAGTATCAGTGATGCTAGACTAGTAAAGATGTTTGAGGCAGGCTGAATAACAAGTCCCCAGATGTCCACACTCTAATCCCTAGAACTGTGAATGTGTTACCTCACATGGCAAAAGGGAACTGAGGTTGCTAATCAGCTGACTTTAAAGTAAGATTTTCCTGGATTATCTGGGTGAGCCCAGTGTTATCACAAGCGTCCTTAAAAGCGAAAGAGGGAGGCAGAAGGGGAGATAGTCAGAGAAAAGAGATGTCACTGGCTTTGAAGATGGAGGAAGGGGGCCACAAACCAAGGAATGCAAGCAGCCCCTAGAAGGTGGAAAGAGAAGGAAATTGATGCCCCCGCCCAGGGCCTCCAGAGAGGAATGTGGCCCTGCCCACTCCTTGATTTTAGACTTATGAGGTCTGCACCAGACTTCTGACCTCCCGAGCTGTAAGATGATATATTTGTGTTGTTTTAAGTCACTAAACTTGTGGTAATCTGCTTTGGCAGACTGTTTTGGCAGAAACAGAAAACAAATACAACGCTGATTCCAGTCTACATCCCAGACAGCTCCCAAAAGTGGGGAGGTTGTTGAAGTGCTTATGGGCAGTCACAAAAATCCAAGAGAAACCCTAAACGGAGGCTGTTCTTCCAGACACATCCTGGAGAGCTTGAGAGGTCCGGGGTCTTAGACAAAGACCCAAGGGTTTGTTCTGCTCTGGACATGGGTTGTCAATGAACAGACTTTGCTAACAAACGAGCTGCAGAAAACATTTGTTTATTTTTATTTTATGAACAGTTACATTGTTCAGGTGGCTTCATACAATGTCAAGAGCAACTAAACTCATGAAACATGTCTGTATTTCACTTCCAGGTAGGTGTAACAGGTTACATCTGACAGCACAGCAGCTCTGGTTTTGAAGTACTGTCTTTAAAACTTGTTCTCTTCTCAGCATGCCTCATTCTCTCAACATGCCACTCTCCAGACATCATTTCTCTTTTGCATTTTGCTCTACATGTTAAAACTACAGCATCTAAATAAGACCCAAGGTAGATCCAAAGTGCTTTTGGGTATCAGCACAAAATGGTTAGCAACAGAACTCTTAGTGAAGAACAAACATCATTAACAACAGGAAGCTTTTAAAGAAGGATTTAAATTCTAATATTCATAACTTCACAACATCAAAGATATCTTTCTAAAACTCCTTACCAATAGATGATTCACCTCACACAAATACATTCTCAGATAACCTCAACGAACCTGGCTTTGTTTTTTGGCAGTAAAATCCTTGCTGAGCTTTCTCATCACATCCCCATGACCTATCCCTGCCGTCTCCTTCCTGACTATTCTGTAATTCTCCTGCACATACTTGGCAAATGGTCTCACATGGGGCTCAATGGGGGTTCCATCTTTACGAGTTAATGGCAGAAGGACCAGAGAGCCGTGGCACCTGGCACAGATGAAGCGCTCGGTGTCCAATGATCTGGTGTAGCGGCCGACCCTAAGGAGGAAAGAAACACCACACAGCAAACGAATCAGTCACTGTACCTCCGCATCTTCTCAGAGTTGCTGCCCCTGAGCCCACAGCCAGACTTCTTCCGTGGGATCTCAGCAAGTGGGGCACCAGGCAGTGGCCGTGGTCAGGCTGGCTCAAAGCAGAAGAGAATGGAGAAAGAAGACATGGAAAGGAGTAGAGAAGTTTTACTCCTCAAGTCAGATAGCCATGTACTCCCTGATAAAACCACTGAAGACTACGTGGAGGCCATAGTAAAAACGTAATTGGAAAAAGTCTGAGGAGAAGGGTCTTACCTGAATTTGCACTGAGTACACTCATAATGAATCCTGTAGTTAATCTTGTAGTTATGGCAACGGGTGACCTTGGGCAGCTCCGGGTGCACCATATTCAATTTTCGGGCATAATACTTCCATGCATCACCATGAGAATCACGGACGCCATCGAGCAGCCAGGAGGCTGCGTGGCATATCTCATGGATCAAAGTATCCCGGAGTCGGTCTTAGAAGAGGAATGAAAAGAAATCATGAGGCTTAAACCGATTCCCTCCTGGTCTGTTACCCAACCACCCCTAGACTCTCCACCCCACCAGACACATAAGCACATGTGGGCAGGCAGGAGTGTTATCGCCCCAGGATTCTGAAGGTGAAATTTCTACCGAATTCAACCCGATTTTATTAATGGCAGAGAGCCTCAGCGGAGCAAGTGTTTTTGGAAAAGCTCCAATGTGCTCTTTTTGTGGGACACTGCTAGAAATACATCCAGCTGAAACCCGGTCGCCGCCCTCCAGGAGCATAAAGTGGGGTTTGGTCAGGAGAAGCTCCGTGGAGAAGCTGGGATCTGAGCTGGGCCCTTAACAATTGACTAGATTGGCAAAATTATCAAGGTCTTTCTAGGTGTGGTAGAGAAGGTGAGCCAAGGTTGGGGTCAGGAAAGCATGTGGTCCATCTTGAAAGCCAGCGTGAAGAAAGCCTGGCTGGAGCACAGGTGGAGTAGTGAGAGACAAGACTGGCCACATGGAGGGGGGCAAAGTACGATGGCCTCGAAAGCCACACTCGAGGCACTGGCAAGCCCAAGGTTTCCTAGCAAGAAACTGCATGGAGCAGGGAGAAAAGTGAGGTGATGAGGGTCCATAGCTAGGCAGAGGCAAAGACAGAGAAGGAATGATGATAATAGGAGAGTCATTATGAACAGCCGGTGATTGGCTAGATATAGGGGACCTTGAACCTCAGTTACTGGGAGGATGGAGATGCTGCCGCTGGCAGTGGGGAGCTGCAGAGAGAAAGTCAGGCCCGGTAGAAATATGGACGAACTGGATTCTTGGTGGTGGTGAGACATCCAATAATAATGTCCTCTAAGCAACACAGAGTAGGCCTGTCCACCCAGGAGTGACAGGGAAAGCTGTGACACAGGCGGCCAGAGAACACCAGCACCCAAGAGTAACCTCCCAGTCGCCATATCGGATGTAAGTGCAGCAGGGGAGCTGCCCAGCTCCTGCCATCACCTGCAGAATCGCAGACTTTCTGAGAAATCTCAATCTTAGCATAACGCTCCCTCTTCGGGTATCGAATCTCGCCAGTGGTGCATAAACCAGCAGTTCTCAGCATCTTTTTATTCCAGCCGATGTCAATTTTCTCCGGCATCTGAGAACAAAAAGCAAACAAGAGCGAATCAGAAAGCGGTTCTAAGCAGACCAGAAAATCTCAACTCAAGAGTTTTGCAAATCTAACATTCTGGGGAGAATAAAACCTAAGCTGAAGCCCACGTAAAGATGAGGCTGTTGCAAGCACGTGAATGCAGGCTCTGTGCTCCCCTGTACGGAGACAAAAGTCAGGGGCAGCCAAGGAGAGAAGGACACTTCTGCTGGGCTAGGAGATGGAGCCCGCGCATGAGAGCCATGAGGCAAAACTAAAACTGCAACTCAGAACACTTAAGGTTCCACTCATCAGAGTTATCTGATGTAACACCACTGTCATCAGGAAGGGCACCAAAGGCTGGGGAACCTTTAGAAAGATCTAAGAACTTTCCCTGCAGGAAGTTTTGTCACCAGAGTCAATAAAGTCTGGAAAACCTCATGACCGCAGGTCTCTCTACCTCCAAATTCTCTCGATCCAGTCCACACCACAGGCTACTGACAGAACAACTTCTTTCAGCAGGCACGCCACATCCCATCCCTGGGCAGTTACATCCCATCCCTGGGCAGTGGTGCCTACTGATTTCAATTTAAGTTCCTCCAACCCGACTCCCAAGGCCCTCCATTAACCAGCCCTACGCTAGTTAACATGTACTGCTCACTATGTCATAGGCCCTGTTCTAGGCACTTCAGGGGCATTCACCTATCCAGGCCTAACGGTAATTCTGTGAAGTAGTAGGTGGTAGGGACTAGGGTACTAGGACTGCCCCTGTTTTACAGATGAGCAAACAGGGGCTCAGTAACTTGCCTAAGGTCCCACAGCTCTTTCCTAGTATCCTTCAACACGAACCCTCTCTTCCAGATAGTCAAGCCTCAACACTTGCCCTCTCCCCCACCACTGTTGTTCTCTCCCCTTACCATCCTTCAAGACCCAGAAGAAGTCTCACTCCCTCCAGGCAATCCTATTTCCCAACCGCTCAGGCTCTCAGTGATTTCTCCCTCTGCTGATCACCTGTGGTAGTAACAGTCTGGACCATATACTGTAACCCACAAAACATTCTGTGTCTTTCACGTATGCATGTCTCAACTCCCCTCCCCATCTAAACTGACACTCCTCAAGGGCAGGAAATATACAATTAGTACATCTGCACACCTTCCAGCTCCCAAGAGAGCTGGGCATACAGCAGGTGCTCAGTAAGTGCTTTTTTCATCGAGTCTACCTTTTTATCAAAGACAGAGCTGTTACACAGAGCGTAGATTCTCTGAACCAGTTCATCCTTATTTTGCTTGAAATTCTTTCCAGAATACTGCTTTAAGTTCTCAATGCCACGCAAGAAACACCCAGGTATTTTGCACTCAGAATGCCTGCAAAGGTAAATTCAACTGAGTTTTGTAGAGGGAAAGAAATCAGTAGAAGAAATGCATACATACAGGTCATGTCAAGAGAAACTTAGAGAAGACTTGCTGGTCCCTCTTCCTTCCAGCTCCTGCTACAAGGGCATCTCCTATAAGATTCCATTCATAGCCTTTTTCTCGTCACTCCCCGCACACTGTCAGAGACGTGAAGCCCATGGTTCCAACCTCAACAGGGGTGATCCCACATCTGGATCTGCAGTCTCCACCTCTCTCCTAAGATCTGCGTTTACAACTGCCCAGTGCAAATTTCCAACTTACTAACCGGAGTATGTCTCCTGCTAAATGTGTTTAATTGTTCAACTTCTGTTCTAACAGGCTAAAAACCTCAGAGACTTTTTAAATTCATTTTTCTCCCTCACCCCATATTCAACTAGGCACAAAGACAGACCACTGTCTCCTTCACATCATCTCTTCCAGCCAGCCCCTCCTTTCCACCCTGCTGTCACCATTCTAGGTCAAGTTCCTGTCCTCCCCTCTATGCCTTGCTACTACAGCATCCCGCTGTGTTCCTCACCTCCAGGCTCTTTTTCTTCTAATCCAACCACACACACACACACACACACACACACACACACACACACACACACACCCCTCTCCAGATTAATTTTCCTAGGCCATGTTCCAATGATGTCCCTCCCTGGCTTTTCACTGACTGTCTGGCCTAACATTCAAGGCCCAGGTCAACCTGGTTCCAACCTCTGTTTCCAGCTATCATTTCCACTCTGGCCAAACTGGGCAACTTAAATGTTCCCTGGACATGAACCGATTTGTCCATGGCCTAGAATGGCCACACCTCCACCTCTACTGAGACCCACCCTCTGTGGAGCACTTCATCATTTGCTAAGAACTTCCTTTTGCATCATCATATTTAATCCTCACGACCACCCTCCAAAGAAGCTACTACTATTCTTACCATCTCCACTTTGCACATGACGAAACTTAAGTTCAGAGGTTAAATGACTTACCCAAATTTCACAGACACTGAATCTTTTGACCCAAATCTCACGGTATTTCCATTAGACCACTATTGCTGCCCCATCTTTCAAGGCCTAATTCAAATGCACAAAGAATAGTGCTGAGCCCATAAAAAACTCACACATGTAATATCTATTTATTTAAACAGAAACTTTTTTTTTTAAAGAAGATGTTGGGGGTAGGAGTTTATTAATTAATTTATTTTTGGCTGTGTTGGGTCTTCCTTTCTGTGCGAGGGCTTTCTCTAGTTGTGGCGAGTGGGGGCCACTCTTCGTCGCAGTTCACGGGCCTCTCACTGTCGTGGCCTCTCTTGTTGCGGAGCACAGGCTCCAGACGCGCAGGCTCAGTAGTTGTGGCTCACGGGCCTGCTGCTCCACGGCATGTGGGATCCTCCCAGACCAGGGCTTGAACCCGTGTCCCCTGCATTAGCAGGCAGATTCTCAACCACTGCACCACCAGGGAAGCCCCTAAACTGAAACATTTTTATCTTGGCTGGAACAATCCACGAGTCCAAAGAGATGAGCCCACAGAGCTGAAAAGATGATAAACCAGTAGCAAACAGAGGGAAGTGTTTCTGACCTGAACCCCTGAGACTAAGATTTTGCCAAGACACTCATTAACCCTTAAGTCACAAAATAAAACCCTATGAGAGTTGCCCAGGGTGGAGACAGAGGGAAAGTACCAGAGAAGATATAGGCAGCTAAAGTAACTGGACTTTTGCCCCACAGTCTGATATGGGTGACTAAATATTTCTGCCTCCAATTATTTAGTCCTGAAAGCAAATTTGCATCAGAAAAGGTGGCAGATAAAAACCTAAACCATCTGCAGACTTCAGCAGAGAGCGTGATCCCTGCGTGTGTCTATACTCACATCAAGCAGCTTGTGGCTTAGCAAGCCTTCACTTCAGTGGTAATGCTGCTTTACTGCAAACAGAGTATCTCCACATCAGAGGAACCAACAAGACCCCGGACGCATGCATCAGACACCATGACCAGCAAGCAGCCTGCACAGGAACAATGCTGAGCACAACAGGAAGCCTACAGACTGAAACAGAAAGCAGCAAGGCAACAGAGAAGAGTCCAAACAGGCCAGCCTCCTGATATGAGGCAGAGGACAATGACACAAAGGAGCAGCTTCTTCCTTCATTTGTCACACTCTACCCAAGAAACATGTCCCTTAGAGGCAAAGCAGCTTAAATATGGATCTAGGAATCCAGAGAACAAGCTCTGCTGCAAGGGGACCCATCTAAGACATGACACGCCGAACCAAAGAGAAATGCAGAAACAGAGAGCCTCTCTGCTCAAGTCCAAGTCTCTCTGTTGCCCCTACGCCTGACACATCATTCTTCTTCTCCCCTTAAGATGCAATTATTGGAGTTCCCTGGTGGTACAGTGCCTAAGAATCCGCCTGCCAATGCAGGGGACACGGGTTCAAGCCCAGGTCTGGGAAGATCCCACAGGCCGCGGAGCAACTAAGCCCGTGTGCCACTACTACTGAGCCTGCACTCTAGAGCCTGCGAGCCACAACTACTGAAGCCCGTGTGCCTAGAGCCCGTGCTTCACAGAAAGAGAAGCCACCGCAGTGAGAAGCCCGCGCACAGCAACAAAGAGTAGCCCCCGCCCGCAGCAACTAGAGGAAGCCTGTGCGCAGCAACGAAGACCCAACGCAGCCAAAAATAAATAAATAAATAAATTTCTTAAAAGGAAAACGCCATATGTTTAAAAATAGATGCATTTATTGCCCCAAAATACAGGTAAAAAAAGAAACGTACAGTCCTTCAAATATATCCCTTCTTTTGTAAGATAACTCAGATGTAAGTATAAATTACTCCTGAATGCAAAGAAAAACAAAGAAAAGTATGCTCACTATATCATATTTTTAAGAGAAAAAGTGAGAAGTTCTTGCAACCTAAGTGAGAAAATGCATTTTTTTTTGCTTCCTTTGAGCATTAACATGTCTGTGGTCTAAATGACCTGTTGTTTTCAGTATCAATATAATATCTAACATATAGCTTAATAAAGATAAAGAGACTATTTATTTCACCTTAACGTTTAAGCTTTAAAAATTTGCAAGAAGGAGCTTCCCTGGTGGCACAGTGGTTGAGAGTCCACCTGCCGATGCAGGGGACACGGGTTCGTGCCCCGGTCCAGGAAGATCCCACATGCCGCGGAGCGGCTGGGCCTGTGAGCCATGGCCGCAGAGTCTGCGCGTCCAGAGCCTGTGCTCCACAACGGGAGAGGCCACAACAGTGAGAGGCCCGCGTGCCGCAAAAAAAAAAAAAAGAATAAGGGTCCATCCAGAACACTAGAAAACCCTGGAAGACAATCTTGACTGCCTCCCCCCAATTCCAATGGATGGGAACACATCTGTTCTGCCTTCTCACCATTCCCACTGCCTTTGCTTTTAGTTCAGTGCAAACTGGTGGCCATGAGGCTGTATCTGGCCTGAAAAAAAGGATCTTTAGCTACACATCATTGTTTAATCTGAGTGGAAGGACAAAGGAAACCTCAGGGGCCAGAGCTCCTGTGGCGGGGGGAGGGCAAAAAGGCTCCAGTCTGCCCGGAATCGCTGAAATCTGTGCAGAGTGCCCACGCCCCGGCTCTGTTGGGGGAGGGGGAGGGAGGGCACCGAGGCTCCTCCCCCCCCTCCTCCTCTCCTCCTCCTGCCGCTTCTGCCCTCCCCATTCAGGGAGGTAAAACTTGTGCCGCCTGCCCCCCCCCCCCCCCCGCCCCAGCAGACTTCTTCATCCCCTTGAAAACCCCCACACGTGTCCAGTGGACAGCTTTGCACGTGACAACTATGCAGTCAACTCCTGTGCCGTTGACCGTGAGCAGTACATACATACCCAGGCTCGCAGTTTTCAAATTTTGCTGCTCCGGGTTTCTTCTTTAAAGTCCCATACTTCTTTGCTCTTTTAACAACTGAAAAGAGAGTAGTTTGTTTGTACCCTGAAAACTGGTACCAACCAGCAACTCACAGAAAGGTAATCTCAGGAGGAGCCCTCACAGCCAAGCCCAGAGCAGCACATATACACTCAACGCTTCTCTCGGAAGCGGGCACCCTCCTCCGTTAGTCTGCATGAAAGATTTCACCTACGCGAGTAAGCAGAGTAAGCGGGATAGGATTCTGTCCTAGGCGCTGAGGACTATTATGAGGCTACATGAATATGCCTTTGGAGGTTAGACTGTGGGGGCGACCGAGGCACGTGCAGTACCAGGAATGGTGTGGCATAACTCATGCACTCACTCTGAGGAAAATGGCCCCCATCCTAGGTGGCACCTTCATCCAATGTGCAAGCCAAATCTTTCCCCTTTTGTCTAGCACCCATACTGCCGGTTGCTCTAGCCAGAAATTCACGTATCAGGAGTTAGTGCCCTTCGTTCATTTATCTAAAAAACTTATTAAACGTCTAGTACGTGCCAAGTACCAGGCTAGACTCCAGGAGAGACTAAAGGATGAGTGAGAGCCCTCCCATCAAGAGGCTCACCATCAGGACTTCCCTGGCGGTCCAGTGGTTAAGACTCTGTGCTTCCACTGCAGGGGGCACAGGTTTGATCCTTGGTCAGGGAACTAAGATTCCGCATGCCATGTGATGTGGCCAAGAAAAAGAAAAGGCTCACTATCTACCGGGAGGACAGATTCAGAAACGTACTTAACACAGTTGTGCAAGTGCTTTACTAGTGACAGGGCCTAGGAACTTTGGGAACCTGGGAGGGAGGAGCACCTCGGACTTACGGCTTTCTACAGCAAGTGGCAATTGGGCTGGATCCTAAGAAAAATGGGATAACCTCAGGACAAAAAATGGCAGGGATAAAGCACTGCCAATGGATGGAACGGCAGATACTAAGACACTGGAGCATGAGGACGACACAGGTGTTCCTCGCCCTTCCCCAGAAAGAGCCTTCTCACTGGGATGGCTGCCTCCCTTGGCCACTAGGAAGCTGCTGAAACACAGCGGAGGGTTAGTAGACAGGACAAGCAGACTCGACAAGACAGACATATACGGGGGAAAGGGCACCCACTTGTGGCGCTAGCCTCAGTGGGACAGGCATACTTGGTTTGATTGGCTTACCAGGTGTCACAGGTATGTGTCTGGTTTTATTTTTCCTTTTCCTTGGTTTTGCCACCAAACGTACAGGCTCTTCATCACTTGACAACTTTCCAACTGAAATCTCTAGCTCAGCCTTAGGCTCATCACTTGGTGGCTGGCAGACATCTTCCCCAAGATCCTGCTTACCAACATCATAAGATGGTTGGTGTAGGGAGATAGCAAACTCATTCTTCTTTATCTCATTTGAGGGAGCTTGGTCCTCGTCACACGAATCATCTTCTATTAGCACAGGGCCCTCCAAGCCATTATGATCATCATCATCATCATCAGTGATAAGTATTGGAGACCCCTGGGGCGGCTGCTCATCGGTATCAGACACTTCCAGAATCTCATCTGAAATTCAAGAGACAGGATGATGTATAAAATACTCCCTCCACCCCCACACCCCCAACTCAAGTTCACATTATTGAGCACAAGTTAAACAAGTCAGGGGCTTCCCTGGTGGCACAGCAGTTGAGAGTCCGCCTGCCGGTGCAGGGGACACGGGTTCGTGCTCCGGTCCGGGAGGATCCCACATGCCGCGGAGCGGCTGGGCCTGTGAGCCATGGCCACCGGGCCTGCGCGTCTGGAGCCTGTGCTCCGCAATGGGAGAGGCCACAGTGGTGAGAGGCCCGCGTACAGGACAAAAAAAAAAAGAATCTGCCTGCCAATGCAGGGGACACAGGTTCGAGCCCTGGGCCGGGAAGATCCCACATGCCGCGGAGCAACTAAGCCTGTGCGCCACAACTACTGAGCCTGCGCTCTAGAGCCCACGAGCCACAACTACTGAGCCCACGTGCCACAACTACTGAAGCCTGAGCGCCTAGAGCCCGTGCTCCACAACAAGAGAAGCCCACACGCCACAATGAAGAGTAGCCCCCACTTGCCGCAACTAGAGAAAGCCCGCACACAGCAACGAAGACCAAGTGCAGCCAAAAATAAATTAATTAAATTAATTTAAAAAAAATTAAACAAGTCAGGAACTGTGATATAATGAATCCTAGGTAAGAATCAGTTATTTAGACGATTTTACCTCTGTTACTTTTTTATTTTACTGAGAACAGTGACAGATAAAATAGCAATCCAAACCCAGAGGCAATTTTCAAATCACATTTCTCTGTAGGTGCTCAGGGGTTCCCACAGGTCCGAAACTTGTATATTTTCACTGGGCCAGAGCAAAATAAGAGAAATTAGAATAATAAAGTGGGTTTGTTTTTCTTTTTCCCCTATCAAGCTAGCTTTCTATAATTTAAAGGACTGTCCTTTATTTTGAGATTATGTCCTGACTAAACTTTTGGTGCTCTTTACCTTATGAAATTATGGTGATAGATGGTAGTTGGAGTTTATTTCCATCATTAGACAAATTAAAAATTGGCAACTCTATGTTAGTCACCAAAATTTCTTTTTTTAACTACTCCATAAGTCCGAAGCTCTCAAAACCACTGATGTGAGAGTAAGGAGTTAAGTTCTGATGCCAGCACTGAAAGGCCTTGGGAACACTGAGACTGTCCCTGCCCTCACTGAGGATCCATCCCTTCATCTGGATACCAGGGGCAACGTGCCTAAGACTCGACTCAAGCTCTCTGCAGTCTGCTCAGGGTTCAACTTCTAGGTTTCTATGATTCTGGATGTAAAAAATATAAACCACAGCATGAGCAAGTTGTGAAAATATCTTTATGGTGCAAAAAACTCCATATCCTAAAATTGCAGATTTGGGATAATATATTTTGAGTCTCATCTATGATTTAAATTAATTATCAAAAAATTTCAGATATGCAATAAGGAAAGAGAAAGCAGTGGGTGTTCCTATGGTAAAAAGTCATCCTTCCTAGAAGAGTTAAAGTTTTCCCACCTGCAGCTGAAATTCTAAGCAGTAGGGACACAAATGAACTCATTTACCAAACAGAAACAGACTCACAGACCTGGAAAACAAACTTCTGTTTACCAAAGGGGAAAGGTGTTAGGGGGAGGGATAAATTAGGAGTTTGGGATTAACGTATACACACTACTATATATAAAATAGCTAAACAACAAGAACCTACTGTATAGCACAGGGAACTATATTCAATACCTTGTAATAAACTATAATGGAAAAGAACAGAAGAAAGGAATATATATATATGCATGTGTGTATAAGTGAATCGCTTTGCTGTGAAACTAACACACCTGAAACTAACACAATATTGTAAATCAACTCTACTTCAATAAAATATAAATAAATAAAAAGTAGGGACACACTGCTTACAATCTGTAAAAAATGACTCTGTACATTGACAAAGGTTTCAAGTGAGGTTGGAAGTATGTGTTTAAGCTCCTTGGGCCTTTTTTCCTGTAAAACTGCCTAAATTCATTACCATAACGAAAGAAATGGCATGTGGAGAACAGTAAAGAAACATACAAAGACAGTCCTGTTGAAGCATTCTTCATCCCACTACTGGGATGGATGCTACCGGTCAGAGCAGCCTTAGTTGAAAGTTCATCCTCAAAAGACGATGGATCTTCTGATTCAAGGAGTTAGCAACTGGTGGCCTATGGTGATAAACTGGCCTCTGGCTTTGTCACTCAGGCCCCTACTCTAAAGCTACCTCCCTCGGGGCCCCCTCTGCATTACAGTAGCTTGTCATGTTACACCCCTTACTCTGCACCTGGACCTCTGTCCTGCTCAGGCAATCCACTCAGAGCTAGAGAGGAGGGAAAAAGGAAATGAGAGGGGACAGGTGGTGAAACAGTAGGAAATGCGGGTTCCAAGCCACCTCTCCTTTCCCTTCTCTGATATCAATGGTACATCTGAGGTAGTTATCAAAGAAGTAGCCAGTATTTTTAAGGGTGCCAGTACTTTAAGTAGGTGCCTGTGTCTCATGCCCTACACCAGGTACTTAGCAAACAGAGATCAATAAAATACTATCCCGGGCTTCCCTGGTGGCGCAGTGGTTGAGAGTCCGCCTGCCGATGCAGGGGACATGGGTTCGTGCTCCGGTCCAGGAAGATCCTACATGCCGCGGAGCGGCTGGGCCCGTGAGCCATGGCCGCTGAGCCTGCGCATCCGGAACCTGTGCTCCGCAACGGGAGAGGCCGCAATAGTGAGAGGCCCGCGTACCGCAAAAAATAATAATAATAAAGAAAGAAAGAAAGAAAAATTAAAAATAAAGAAAAATAAAATACTATCCCAAAGGCTTAAGAAGCTCCTAGTCTTCCTATGTCTCACACCCGCTGAGCAGGTTCTGAACTGCGAGTAAAGCTCCGTGCCTCCCGAAAGGTGATGAGGGCCTCTGACTCCTAAGAGGCAAGGACCTGCTATGGGAAACAGGCTCTAAGAAAAACAGGACTCTCTAGAAAATATAAAGGGGGTAGCAAAAGGCAAACAGCTAGACAGAGAAAACAAGCATTCCTCTGAGAAGTCACTGCCAGCTGGCCCATAAGCCTCACACACGAGTCTCCATCAGGCTGGAAAGAATGAGCCCCTGTCTCTTACTCCTCCTTCCTCCTCTCTGTCATCCCCACATACAGGGAAAGAGGAAAAGAGCGGAAGGCAGAGGAGCAGGGCAACCTTCACGCTAATCAGGCTGAGTTCCTGACTTCCCTCTGCTCCCGCGATGTAACGCTGGGTAGCTAAGAACTCTACTGAGGGCGATGCCTGGGGTCTAAGGCAGCAAGAACAGTTGCTGCTATGTTAGGAAATTGACCAGGCGGTGCAGGGAACCCAGCCATATCCACATCCAGCACATAGGAGGAAAAAACAGTGGCACTCACTACGAAATTATTCAGAATAGAACATTTGCTGACTTTCATCCTGAGATGACTATGCATGGTGAGGCTGCATCTTCTCTAAGTTAGTAGTATACTTGCCTTTGCAATGTATTTCAGCTATCTTAGCTCTCTTTTGCTCACAGAGGTATTCATCGTCAGAGTCTGAGTTGATCACCACGTAGCTGAGTGATGAGACAGGGAAAAACAAAAGAGAAGCATGAATGCAACATTCTTCTTTTCATGGCATTTTCTACCTTTGCTCCAATGAGCATAATCACTTTGAAATGACTTGTTGGTTTCCCACAGTAACTCTGTTCCCCTTCTCCAGAACTCCTCAATTGTTATTCCTGATTTTCCATCTTTCCTATCTTCATACCAAATCTTTCCATCCGTCTCAATCCTTTCAAAAGGAGGAATGTGTCAAGTACTGAGAGACTGAAGTGGGCTGTCAGACGGTATGTGTTCAAATAGTTTTGGCGCAGGGGGAAACTGATTAAGGAAAGGTTTATTTAATTGCCATTTCTCTTTATCCACGTTGAGATCCCCCTGCCACAGATACAGAGAGGCAGCCTCGGCAGGGAGATTTCTCCTGGGTGCCACTCTTTGCAGCCTGAAGCCAGCACCGCCCTCTCTAATTGATGGACTGCTTTGGCAGGAGTCCAACTCAGCAGTATCCCTGTGCCACCCAGGATGCCGGTGGTGAGCACGCCTCTGGGACCGTCGTTCTCAGCTGGCCCAGGTATTTGGGTCAGAGGTTCCAGAAGGCTGAAATTCTCCACCTTTCTGTATTTCCCAAACAGTGTACGATAAGTGTGATATACCTTTATGATGAGACAGAAAACTACTTAAAACACTGCTAGAGGACTTGTCTGTACCCGTTACAGGCACAAATCTATTCATCCATTTCCACCATATTCACCACTTTTCTTTTTTTTACATCTTTATTGGAGTATAATTGCTTTACAGTGGTGTGTTACTTTCTGCTTTATAACAAAGTGAATCAGTTATACATATACATATGTTCCCATATCTCTTCCCTCTTGCACCTCCCTCCCTCCCACCCTCCCTATCCCACCCCTCCAGGCGGTCACAAAGCACTGAGCTGATCTCCCTGTGCTATGCGGCTGCTTCCCACTAGCTATCTATTTTACGTGTCCTAGTGTATATATGTCCACGCCGCTCTCTCGCTTTGTCACAGCTTAAGCTGCCAAGTTGATGGGCCTTTGCTCTCCTGCTGACCATTCATTCCATCCTTAAAATTCTCTTTTCTTGATCTCTGGGATACTGTTTGGTTTTGGTTCTCTTCTCACCTTTTTTGCCCACTCCTTCTCACTCAATTCTCTTCCTCACTCGTTCCCAGGCTTTATCCACACCCCTTTCATGCCAATCCAATTAATTCCTAAGGATTGGGTAAACATTATCCATCCGCCAGCCCAACTTTGCTTCTAACTTCTCGCTCCACAGTGCCAGCTTCCTACCTGGATATCATGTGGGGAGGGCCGATTTTTAGTCAGTCTCCACAGGTACAGCCTCACCAACTGTTTTATTGATGGTGTCTATTCGAGCCAGTCAGGCAGCCATCCTGACTAATCCCTGTTTGTATCTATTGACTGTAAATGTTTTGAATATCAGCCCTGCCTATATAGGCCCCTCAATTTCAGCATACCCAGAACTGAACTCATCACCTTCCTCCCCAAATTCACCCTTCCTACAATATCCCATATACAGAAGCCTCCTGGGTCTGGACCAAGATCTGTGGGCACTCCTGGCAGACCCATTGAAATGGATTTTCTTTACATATTTGTTCAACATCTACCTAGTGGAGGCAGGAAGAAACCAATTTTTCTACTTAAAAATTGGATACTTTTAAATTTATTATTAAACAAGGGCTCTATAATGTATAATATTGTAAACCAGAATATTTCTAAGGATCCATGACATACCATTTAAAATGCAAGGGGTGGATCGTAAAGAAGATGGCAGAAGAGTAAGATGCGGAGATCACCTTCCTCCCCACAGATACACCAGAAATACATCTATACGTGGAACAACTCCTACAGAACACCTACTGAACGCTGGCAGAACACCTCAGACCTCCCAAAAGGCAAGAAAGTCCCCCACGTACCTGGGTAGGGCAAAAGAAAAAAAGAAAAAACAGAGACAAAAGGATAGGGACGGGACCTGCAGCAGTGGGAGGGAGCTGTGAAGGAGGAAAGGTTTCCACACACTAGGAAGCCCCTTCGCGGGCGGAGACTGAGGGTGGCGGAGGGGAAAAGCTTCGGAGCCGCGGAGGAGAGCGCAGCAACAGGGGTGTGGAGGGCAAAGTGGAGAGATTCCCGCAGAGGATCGGTGCCAAACGGCACTCACCAGCCCGAGAGGCCTGTCTGCTCACCCGCCGTGGTGGGCGGGGCTGGGAGCTGAGGCTCGGGCTTCGGTCAGAGAGCAGGGAGAGGACTGGGGTTGGCAGCGTGAACACAGCCTGCAGGGGGTTACTGCACCACGGCTAGCCGGGAGGGAGTCCGGGGAAAAGTCTGGACCTGCCGAAGAGGCAAGAGACTTTTTCTTCCCTCTGTTTCCTGGTGCGCGAGGAGAGGGGATTAAGAACGCTGCTTAAAGGAGCTCCAGAGACGGGGGCGCGAGCCGCGGCTAAAAGCGCGGACCACAGAGACGGGCATGAAACGCTAAGGCTGCTGCTGCCGCCACCAAGAAGCCTGTGTGCGAGCACAGGTCACTATCCACACCCCCGCTGCGGGGAGCTTGTGCAACCCGCCACTGTCAGGGTCCCGGCATCCAGGGACAACTTCCCCGGGAGAACGCGCAGCGCACCTCAGGCTGGTGCAACTTCACCCCAGCCTCTGCCACCGCAGGCACGCCCCCCACTCCGTACCCCTCCCTTCCCCCGGCCTGAGTGAGCGAGAATCCCCGAAGCAGCTGCTCCTTTAACCCCGTCCTGTCTGAGAGAAGAACAGACGCCCTCCGGCCACCTACACGCAGAGGCGGGACCAAATCCAAAGCTGAGCCCCAGGAGCTGTGAGAACAAAGAAGAGAAAGGGAAATCTCTCCCAGCAGCCTCAGAAGCAGCGGATTAAAGCTCCACAATCAACTTGATGTACCCTGCATCTGTGGAATACATGAATAGACAACGAATCATCCCAAATTGAGGAGGTGGACTTTGAGAACAAGATCTATGATTTTTTCCCCTTTTCCTCTTTTTGTGAGTGTGTATGTGTATGCTTCTGTGTGAAATTTTGTCTGTATAGCTTTGCTCCCACCATTTGTCCTGGGGTTCTATCCATCCGTTTTTTTTGTTTGTTTTTCTTTAAAAAAAATTCTTTTTTCTTAATAATTATTTTTTATTTTAATAACTATTTTATTTTACCTCACGTTATTTTATTTTACTTTATCTTCTTTCTTTCCTTCCTTCCCTCCCTCCCTGCTTTCTTTCTTGCTTTCTTACTTACTACTTTTTCTCGCTTTTATTCTGAGCCGAGTGGATGAAACGCTCTTGGTGCTGCAGCCAGGAGTCAGTGCTGTGCCTCTGAGGTGGGAGAGCCACCTTCAGGACACTGGTCCACAAGAGACCTCCCAGCTCCACATAATATCAAATGGCGGAAATCTCCCAGAGATCTCCATCTCAACACCAGCACCCAGCTTCAATCACTGACCAGCAAGCTACAGTGCTGGACACCCTATGCCAAACAACTAGCAAGACAGGAACACAACCCCACCCATTAGCAGAGAGGCTGCCTAAAATCATAAGTCCACAGGCACCCCAAAACACACCACCAGACGTGGACCTGCCCACCAGAAAGACAAGATCCAGCCTCATCCAACAGACACTAGTCCCCTCCACCAGGAAGCCTACACAACCCACTGAACCAACTTTAGCCACTGGGGACAGACACCAAAAACAACGGGAACTACGAACTTGCAGCCTGCAAAAAGGAGACCCCAAACACAGTAAGATAAGCAAAATAAGAAGACAGAAAAACACACAGCAGATGAAGGAGCAAGATAAAAACCCACCAGACCTAACAAATGAAGAGGAAATAGGCAGTCTACCTGAAAAAGAATTCAGAATACTGATAGTAAAGATGATCCAAAATCTTGGAAATAGAATGGACAAAATGCAAGAAACATTTAACAAGGACCTAGAAGAACTAAAGATGAAACAAGCAACCATGAACAACACAATAAATGAAATTAAAAGTACTCTAGATGGGATCAATAGCAGAATAACTGAGGCAGAAGAACGGATAAGTGACCTGGAAGATAAAACAGTGGAAATAACTACTGCAGAGCAGAATAAAGAAAAAAGAATGAAAAGAACTGAGGACAGTCTCAGAGACCTCTGGGCCAATATTAAACGCACCAACATTCAAATTATAGGGGTTCCAGAAGAAGAAGAGAAAAAGAAAGGGACTGAGAAAATATTTTAGGAGATTATAGTTGAAAACTTCCCTAATATGGGAAAGGAAATAGTTAATCAAGTCCAGGAAGCACAGAGAGTCCCATACAGGATAAATCCAAGGAGAAATACGCCAAGACACATATTAATCAAACTGTCAAAAATTAAACACAAAGAAAACATATTAAAAGCAGCAAGGGCTAGTGCGAAGCAGCCGCATGTCACAGGGATATCGGCTCGGTGCTTTGTTACCGCCTGGACTTGAGGATATGGGGAGGGGGAAGGGTGAGCTGGGACAAAGCGAGAGAGTAGCATGGACATATGTACACTACCAAACGTAAAATAGTTAGCTAGTGGGAAGAAGCCGCATAGCACGGGGAGATCAACTCGGTGCTTTGTGACCACCTAGAGGGGTGGGTTAGGGAGGGTGGGAGAGAGGGAGACGCAAGAGGGAAGAGATACGGGAACGTATATATAACTGATTCACTTTGTTATAAAGCAGAAACTAACACACCATTGTAAAGCAATTATACTCCAATAAAGATGTAAAAAATAAATAAATAAATAAATATAAATAAAAATAAAATGTAAGGGGCAGTGATGGAAATTCTGCATCTTTGACTGTGGTAATGGTTACACTACCGCACACGTTTGTCAAAACTCATCAAACTGTATACCCAAAAAGGGTTAATTTTTCTGTATGTTAAGTCATTCCTCAATAAACCTAACTTTAAAAGTATAAATAATAAAACTGATCGTTTCCAATAGATAGCTTTATACAATGCGTTATTCAGTTCCAGTATTTCAGCTGACTGCAACTGCTGACTTTAAATCACTTTCACACATTGGTGTCAAGCTTGGTGGCTTGCATGTTGCAAAAATAATCAACAGAGGTAAATCAGGACTAGCTAGAAAAACATTTTCCCACTTGACAGCACTATTTCGCCTTGGGTGGGTGGGTGGGGGACAGGAATGGTCAATTCATATTTCTACAGGAATTCAAGGAGTTGATGTGGAAACCACAGTTATTACAGTTTTATTCCAGGAATTTTTTTTTTCTTAGCACTTCCTATAGTTTGGCACCTGGGCAACACCCCTTCATCTAGCAGAGGGCTCCTAAATAGGAAAAGTAATAGATAATGCTGACAAGTTAGAGCCGGATCACAGAGGACTTTACCTACTGGGTTTACCAGTTTGATTTCCCTATGATAAGCAACCTGAATAGAGAATTAGTATGATCAAAGCAGTGACTCAGGAGATTAATCTGGAAGTGCGATACAGACTGGATCAGAGGAGGAAGAAATCAGGGTGAGGAGCCCACTTAAAAAGCTCTTGCACGGGAGCTTCCCTGGTGGCACAGTGGTTAAGAATCTGCCTGCCAATGTACGGGACATGGGTTTGAGCCCTGGTCCAGGAAGATCCCACATGCTGCGGAGCAACTAAGCCCGTGCGCCACAACTACTGAGCCTGCACTCTAGAGCCTGTGAGTCACAACTGTTGAAGCCCGCACACCTAGAGCCCGTGCTCCGCAACAAGAGAAGCCACCGCCACGAGAAGCTCGCGCACAGCAACGAAGACCCAAGGCGGCCAAAAATAAATAAATTAAATAAATAAATTTATTTTAAAAAAAAAGCTCCGCACAGATACAAGAGTAAAAACTGATAAAGGCCTTATAGTAGAGACTGGAAGTTAAGGGATGGTTCAGAGAGACTTTTTTTTTTTTTCTGGCGGTACGCAGGCCTCTCACTGTTGTGGCCTCTCCCGTTGCGGAGCACAGGCTCCAGACGCACAGGCTCAGTGGCCATGGCTCACGGGCCCAGCCACTGTGCGGCATGTGGGATCCTCCCGGACCGGGGTACAAACCCGCGTTCCCTGCATCGGCAGGCGGACTCTCAACCACTGCGCCACCATGGAAGCCCCCCAGAGAGACATTCTGAAGAAACTGCCCAATTAAATAATGGGCCAAGGATAAGAAATATATTTTGAACCCAGTTGTGAGACCAAACACCCATTATGACCCTGAACATAGGATTCACAGAGAAAATGTGATGTTTATTCTTAAGTCATCTTACCAGGAACATCGTTCCTTAAAAAAGTCAAATTTCACTAATTCTCCTACTCACCTGATGTTCCTTTTCTGCAGGTTCATTCCAGACACAACTGACACAGAGAAAGAAACAGGGCATCAGAAAGCATTTGAAGCATAATCAAATCTGGTTACCCATGTCTTTAACTCCCTAAAACCAAAGTCCATAAATTACAGCTGGTCAAAATTTATGGTGGACTCTTACATCTCCCATGAGAGAGAAGAAATAAATGTAAGGAGACCTTGAATGAAAAAAGTAAAGGAAGCAAATTGGAAAAGAAGCACAAAGAACTTCCTCTGCTCCTCATAGTAGGGAAATAAACTTTGCTTTGCCAATCTAGAACGAGCCCTAGAGGAGACAAACCTAGGACAGCTTACATCAAATGTCCCAAATCACATTTTAGTCATCTCTACGGAGACATGGCTAAATTATGCTTTAAATTGTAAATTACTGCTTTGAGGGGACTCTACTTACAGTAATCAAGTTCTTCATCACTGCTTGAGTCCACAGTAAGAATGCAACTGCGAAATAAAATACATTCTGTTTTAAAGAAAGGCTACTAACGTCATAAGCAACCAAATGTCAAAAATCTCAAATGAAAGGAACCATCAATCAGAGTTTCTGAAATGCAAAAAGGTTTTAAGGGCTTATGAAATGAAGATCACAATAGGGTAGGAGAAGAAAAATTAGAAGGCACAAGCTGCTCAGTCCGTACTGCACAAAGACCGGACAAGAATGTTGGTTGAGTATCATTAGCTATCAGTGAGAAGCCTGTTTTTTGCCAAGTGGTATATTTCTATTTAAAGATATGAAAGTGAATTCTGAGAAAGGGACCACAGGGGAAAGGACTTGAGGATGCAGAGTTTACAGTTAAAAATCAAAAGGGCAGGGCTTCCCTGGTGGCGCAGTGGTTGAGAGTCCGCCTGCCAATGCAGGGGACATGGGTTCGTGCCCCGGTCTGGGAAGATCCCACATGCTGCGGAGCGGCTGGGCCCGTGAGCCATGGCCACTGAGCCTGCGTGTCCGGAGCCTGTGCTCCGCAACGGGAGAGGCCACAACAGTGAGAGGCCCACGTACCGCGCGCGCAAAAAAAAAAAAAAAAAAAAAGAACATGTATGATGCAACCACATTTTTGCACTTATGTATATGTGAGTACATGTATACAGAAATTAAATAAAATTGTCCTAAAAATGAAAGAAAAAGTCCTAGTAGTGAAATTACTGGGCCAAAGGACATGGGCATTTAAAATTTTGACATTGCCAGACTGCCCTCCAAAAAAGGTTGCACCAATTTATAGTCCCACCATGACTGTATGAAATTTCCCTACAAATTTGCCAACACTGGGTATTATCAAAAATTTTTTTTAATCTTTGCCAATCTGATATATGAAAAATGGCATCTCACTCATTTAAAATCCTTTCATTTCTTTAAGTAAAAATTAAAAGTTGAATAAATTTTAATGTCTATGGGCCATTTGTATTTTTTTCCCTGAGAACTACCTTCTAAAACTTTTGCTCATTTTCTGTTTGTTCACCTTTTTAAATTGTTGCTTTTATTTATTTATCTTTTGGCTACACCACGTGGTTTGTGGGATCTCAGTTCCCCGATCAGGGACTGAACCCCAGCCATGGCAGTGAAAGCCCGGAATCCTAACCACTAGGCCACCTGGGAACTCCATAATTGTTCCTTTTAAAAGTTCCTTGTAGATTAAGGAAGATAGCCTTTTATCATAAGTAATAAAAATATTTTTCCAGTTTGTTGTCATTTTTATGCTTTTGTTAGATATCAAATTTAGAAAGACCTTCCCCACTCCAAAATTACTGGAAACAAAATCCAGCTATATTTTCTAGCATTTTTAATGGTTTCATTTTTTTATTTTTAAATATTTTATCCAAGTGTAATTTATTTTGGTATAAGGAGTGATGAGGTAAGAATCCAATTTTTATTGTTTTCCAAATGGTCAACCAATTATCTTCGAATTATTTGTCAATGAATCCATCTTTTCCCCAGTGATTTGAAATGTCATTTTTTTCATCATGAACTAAATTTTCATATGTATTGGGGTCTATTTCCAGACTCTCTATTCTATGGTCTCTACTTTCTCCCATACCAGACACTTATCTGTATGCTTATCTTACCTGTGAAGGAGGAAAACAGAGCAGTGTTCTGGGAGAATGAAGACTTAGAGGAGATGAGGCAACTATCCTAAAATACCTATCCCAGAGAAGAAAAATACTTCACCTGCATACCTCAAGAGGGCAGCACTGCGAACACTGGGAGTAACAAAAGGACAGATTTGAAGTTCACCAGAATGAAGAACTTTCTAGAAATTACACATATTCAACACTGCATTGTGTTGCTTCATGAAGTTGTACACTCCTGGCCACTAAAAGAGCTGTTATACAGAGGATTCATGCATTGGATAGAAGCTGGACTCCCATGATTCTAAGCTCTCTTTTCACAATTCTCATTTTATGACTAACCAAATTATACACTCTGTAGACTCTAAGTGACATAAACATATCCTTTTTGAGAAAGTCGTTTTGCCAACAGAGTAAGACTAAACTAAGAGAAAAGAGAATTTTTCAAATCTCACCAATCATCATCCTGGTTCTTCCAACGCCCATCCTCCGCTTTGGACATGTCCGCGTCTGTAGTCAGGACAAGGATATACGTTTGAAAGGAAACCAGAACCAGTTAGATGTTTCTACGTTCTGCATTTACCTTTGAGCAGCTTCTTCACCCCAACTTAAAGCCAAAACTTTGCTCTATGAAATGAGAAGTATTTAAATTTGTTTATTGCTGACCTTTCTCCCACCTTGCCCCACCAAGGTTCTTCGTTTATCCATTAGAAAGCCCAAAGCCCATAGTGGCCCCTGATGTTAAGCCGCCTCAACCACCACCTGTTATAGAGATGTGCAGGGAGGACAATCGTTCATTTATCAGCCCCCAGATCAATTTTCTCCCCACTGTAAGGCTTTTAGCATGTACTACTCTGTCCCCGGCCCAATGCTCTTCTGACCCTAAATGTATTCCCACCACCCCCTACATCACCACCGGCGCTCCCCTCTCCCCACATCTTCATTCCCCCTACTTCCGCCTCATGCCCCAAGGAAGTCTTCCATCAGGCTTTCACGCGCTCCCACCCCCCACACCCCCGTACCCTCCACCACCTCCCTACTCCTGCTCATAGCCAGTCTTACACAGACCAGGCTACACCCCGACACACACCTCAATCCAACTCAGTCTCCCCATCCCCCTACTCGCACGGGGAATCAGGTCACCTTCCCCCCACGCCTCCACGCCCCACGCCTCCACCAACTTCCGCCCCAACGGGGCCTCAAACCCTCCTCCTCACTCCGCCTCACCACCCCTCGGCTCCACCTCCTCTCTAAGCCCCCTCCACCTCTCCACCTCTTCCCTGCCCCCAACCCCCCACCCCCCACCAGCTTTGCACCAATCAAGCCTAGACCCCTCCCCCCTCTTGCTCAGACCTCGACACCTCCACTCACCCCCACACACACACACCCCTCCATTCCCTTGCTCCCGCCTCCTCTCCCCAGGAGGTCTTACACCAACAGGCCTAGACCCTTCCCCCACTCCGGCCTGGAGCCAGTTTTGCACCATTAGGCCTAGGCCCCTCCCCCATCTCAGCGCCCCCAGCCAGCCTTGCACCAATCAAGTCTCGACTCCTCCCCCCACTCTCGCCTTCTCTCCCCAGGAGGTCTTACACCAACAGGCCTGGACCCCTCCCCCCTCCTGGCAGCTTTGCACCATCGGTCCTAGACCCATCCCCCCATCTCGCCTCCCAGCGCCCCCAGCCGGCCTTGCACCAATTGGGCCTTGACTCCTCCGCTCCCCGCTCCGTCTCTTGCCCCTAGCTGATCAGGCATCGACCCCCCACCATGCACACCCCTACCCATCCTCCACCTGCCCCTACTTCCACACATTACTCCAACCTCTATCAGCCTGCTGGCCTTCCACCACTCAGGCCTAGAGTCCCCCCTACAACTGTACGCCACCTCCCAGGCCTCTACTCCCTAATGCACCAACTGGTTATCTCTGCCCCCCAACCCCCAGAGTTAAGCCCCCCCGGAGTTAATATCACTAACACACACAAAAAAATTCCTTCTTCCAAAAGCTTTAAGTGGAAACGGGCAAAATATTTTGCCAAAATCTCAGTCTCAAGGCTCACGGACAGTGTCCAGGGCTTATGGTGGTCCTGACTTTAAGTCAGCTCAACTAGGACGAGCGTGAAGATTGTTTCCGCTTCGGTACTCTCCCTTCACCTACCTGCTTCTGCTGCCTCTGGCCCAATGGAATCGCCGCCGCTCTCCTCTGACTGGGAGTGGAAGGTGTGCAATGTGCCGAGCAACTGTGAAACACGCTGCTTTTATAGAGCCCAGGCTCGGCGGGAGATAGGAACTGACGTATTCCCGCCCTCCCTGTACCCACCTATCACAGTGCGGTAAACCAGGCAATTTTCGCGGTTATGAACTCAAACTTGGCGCCCATTTATAGTGCTTCCGGAATCAAGCTTACCACTTCCACGAGGTATCGCTAATTTTACCGGAACGTACCATTTCACGCACAGGGTACAAGCCCATTTTTGTAGTTTGGCGATCCCTAAATTAATTTTTGGGGCGACAGGGAAAAACCGAGTCAAATCCTCCCGAACAAAGTTTCATCCTTGTGAGAACTTGGATAAGCGAGCCCCATTCCTTGCTTGAACTGCCCAACTAAGTCCATTAGCCCCCCTCCAAACAAAGCGGAGGCGCGGGGTGGCGCGGGGAGGCACGGGGAGGGGGGTGGAGGGAGGGGTGGGGGAGGGGTCAGACCCCCTTGATGAGAGGGAGGCAGCAACTCAGAACTGCCAGGCAACACTGAACTATGATGTTTGCTTCCAGACCCCTCCGAACTCCGGAGATAAAGAGAAATTAGTTACTTGAAGCTTTCGGGCACTCACTCCCGACACACCAAGAATAACAAACGGGGGCAGCAAAGGCTTTCTAGATTGTGCCCGTTTCTCTGGCAAAAACCCATACATCTCATAATTTAAGCATTTGGCCAACAGAATACATATAAAACGTCCCTGCATTTAAAAACATTAATGACACTGAGCTTATTTCATGCTAGGCTCTGTTCCAAGTGTTTTTATATGAATTTAATCCTTACGACACTTTAAAAAAGTAGGCAGTGTTAGCACTCTCATTTTACAGAGATCACATGGCTAAAAAATGACAGGGAGCTAGAATGCAAATTCCAGCAGCACTAGTTAGTCTTAAGCACCAAACTGCCTACATATAAAAAGGTACTTTCTGGGGCTTCCCTGGTGGCGCAGTGGTTGAGAGTCCGCCTGCCGATGCAGGGAACGTGGGGTCGTGCCCCGGTCCGGGAGGCTCCCACATGCCGCAGAGAGGCTGGGCCCGTGAGCCATGGCCGCTGAGCCTGCGCGTCCGGAGCCTGTGCTCCGCAACGGGAGAGGCCACAGCAGTGAGAGGCCCGAGTACCGAAAAAAAAAAGGTACTTTCTGAGTTGATGGGGAATGGGATAAGGGCTTATCATTATAACCTTATCACTTACAAGAAACTTGCAAGTTTACCTCTACAAGCCTATTCCATAAAAATGGGGCTTACATAACTGTGTGCCTCAGAGGTTTGGGCAAAGACTCTGAACATTAGCTGTAGTTAATATTGTTAAGAGGCATGTGCTTCAAGTAAAGAGTGGGTTTAGGATTGGAATCAAATGGTAAGTTACACAAGTTTATTCAAGGTGCACAAGCAACTCCTTTAGACTGAAGGCAGGAGGAGCTGAAGTAGACTGCAAATAACTGATGCAGATACCTAATAGATAGAAGAGGGTGGGGGTAAGAACTTATTTATGGGGACTTCCCTGGTGGTCCAGTGGTTAAGAATCCACCTTCCAATGCAGAGGACACATGTTCAATCCCTGGTAGGAGAACTAAGATCCCACATGCTGTGGGGCAACTAAACCTGCACGCCGCAACTACTGAGCCCACGCACTCTAAAGCCCGCGCACCACAACTAGAGAAGCCCATGCGCCACAACGAAAAGACCCTGCGCGCCACAAGGAGAAGACCCCACATGCCGCAACTAAGACCCGATGCAGTCAAATAAACAGATATTAGAAAAAAAAAAAAGAACTTATGACTAATCTACTGGACATCTTTCTTGCCCCATCTTCCAAGAAACAAACACTAACCCACATTAGGGCTTTGAGGGTCTCAATCCACAGAACTTGGGAGGTAAATTACCTAACATTTTATTGAAAAAAAATTGGTTATATCTCTGAGAAAACAGGCAGCTAAACAGCCTGTTCTGGTCCCTGATGCATGGATATTCTTCTCCCTCATACTGGTGGTTGAGTTCAATCACCATACAGAGTGGGAAGGAATAGTCCACATAAAGAATGAGACTACAAGGGTAGATGAAGAAGCCAGAATGATTATAAGCTGAACAGGAACAAACACAAATGCGTGTGCTGGGAGTCTCAGGCTTTGTTAAGTCTTAATGGATCATACACCAACCTGACCCATGCTCCACCACACTTGGCTGAGAAAACAAAATAATTCTTACTATCATAGCTGCACTGTAGGGAAATCTGGTCCTTCTGTTGTTTGGAGCTGTTCAAATATAGATTTCATAACTGGAGGACCCTACTGTTCCATCCAATGCTCAATTTAACAGAACACAAAATACATCAGCCATATTAAGGGCAAATCATTCATTTATTGTTTAAAGATTGCAAGACAACATCTGAATTTCTGTAGCACAATTTAAATGTTTTACTTTTTTGATAAAGCAGAGTATAATAGAAAAAACAATTAGTTTCCAGTAATATCTATATCTCTATTCAGAATTAAGCCTTCCACAGACATGTTACCTGGAAACAAAAGCCTGTTACAATAAGCAAAGCTTCAACCAGAGCGGCTACTTTTCGGGCCAGGGAAAGGTTCACCCCTATAGGAGGATGATGTGCTATGTAAAATGGCTGCAAGGTCACAGCCTTGAGGGCGTTGGAAGTCTATTATCCTATTCCACATTAAGTAGTTTGGTGAACTTCAAACGTCCGTTCATCTGCAACCAAGCTGGCAACCTTTAACTGATATTTCAAGCAGGTAAAAAATAAATTAAAAGAAATCCCTACACTGATGTTCCTTGATTTACACTGTTAAATGGTTCATTAACATGTAATTCTGGCTAAGAATTACATTTGAGACTCCTTGCTCAGATTTTGGTTAACAGTACAAATCTTTCAGAAATTCAAGTTCTTATTAATCAATAATTTGTCAGCTAGGATACATTCAGGCATCAGCTGCAACTACAGAATAGGTGCACTGCCTCAGCGCTGTGGAGAGACATAATCTAGAACACTACTAGCAGACAAAATATCTGTTACTAGACAGCATATGTGCAGTACAGCAAGACAAAAACATATATTCATATGTTGGCTTGTTTAAGCCTCAAGCCCTCGATCCTTTGTTGAAATACAATAATTTTATTCCTATGGTTTTCAATACCAAAAACTCAACCTCCAGGAGGGCTAAAGTCTAATTTGTACTCCAAACCAAGTAGCAGTGCAGTTCGCTACTACTGAGGCTGAATCCATAAAGACTTCAAGACCACGTCCAGAAGACAAGTTATTATATATAATACCCTGGAAGGTCTGAAACATAATTATCATATACACAGCTGGTCCTTCAGAGCTTTTTACCTATAAAATGTTTTTTGATGAAAGTTATTTAATGTACTGGAGATAACTGTGACTTACTGATCAAATATTTGAATACTTATACTTACCTGGGATTTCATTTCTGCTGAAAGAAAAAGGAAGAACAGGACTCACTTAAAAAAAAAACAAACTTTAGAAATGAAAGTAAAAATCGTATCACACACTATCACTTTTGGAAGCAGCATAGAGGGGCAGTCAACGGTAA